CGCTTGATCCCGCCCCTCGGTTTCCACCAAGTTGAGGGCAATTTGGTTTAAGATGCCCCGTGTCTCCACATTGGTAGCACCGAGGAGGGTCACGACACTTACCGGCGTGGCTCTTGTTGCAATTTCGGCACCTGGGCGCTGTCGAGGCTTGTGAGCCCGAGTTGTGCCCGCCGAAAGCCGAGTTTCCCTTGGATGGCGGCGCCGGTGCCCTGAACGATCCTCCTCCCCCGTGGTTCCCCTTTTTGTTAGAACCTTGTGGGCCATGGCTTTCCCACTTCCTCTTCTTCGCCTCCTCGGCGTTCCTCCGTTTTCTTTCCTCCCACTCCTTCTCTCCCTTCAGGCCCTGTTCAACCACTTGACTAAACGTCATATTAGGCAATTGTGTTGCCCTCTCGCGTATGTCAAGGTCTAAGGCATCCCAGAAGTGGTTCACCATCCGGTTCTCATCACATATGTACTCCGGTATGAATTCGGCAAGCTTTCTGAACTTGTGCTCAAGTTCCTTCACCGTACATGCGCCTCCCTGTGTCAAGTTCGTATACTCCCTCCTCTTCATGTTTACCTCGAAGTCGGAGTAGTATTGGTTGAAGAACTCCTGCCGAAAGTTCTCCCATGTGACGGCTTCGCCGTATTTTCCTTTGACCCCGTCCCACCACGTGGACGCCATGCCTTCGAGCAATCTTGTTGCCACCCTCAATTTCATGATGGGTGGCAGCTGCATGTCAAGGGCCGCCTCGTTGAATCTTTTGATCCATTCGGCTGCAACGGAGATGTCTCCCGTTCCATCAAACGGTTTACATCCCAAATCTCGTGCTTCTTTGATAAATTTGGAGATCCTTATTGTTGGACCTCCCACATCTTGGCCTCCATGTGGTTCAACATGGACTCTAGAAGCACCTTGGCTTCCTCCTCTCGAAGCCATGCCCGAAGGTTGCCCCGTTCGGCGCCTTCGGCGTTGTCTCCTCTCTTCGCGCTCCCGGTGGTATTGTTGGAGCAGCGCCTCGATCCTCCCAAGAGTGCCATCGTCTTCACTCTCTTCACTCACATCGTCATCTTCCCCATCATATGGGGTTTCCACCGGCTCGGTTTCCGGCCTATAGGTTGAGTCCTCATAGGACCAATAAGTCTCACTCTCGGTGTCCACGTGGCCATCGCTCACGGTTTGTTGTTGGCCTCCACAGCCCCTTCCCCTGGACACCCTAGTGGACCCCCGGCTGCCGCGTTCGGACCCACCCGGTACACGGCCCGTCGGGTTCCTCCTAGTGATCCTTCCAATTGGCTCCATTTCTGAAAGAAGTTTAGAATGGGCCGTTAGACTCGTATCAAATGTCAAGTGACGGATAGGTACTTAAGGACATCTCTTGGCTCAAATCACCGCCATGCCAATTGTTAAGGGCACCATCTTAACAATTAGAGACTTTGCAACTCAAGTACCAAAAGTTCTATAAGTACAAAACTTTATGCTCATGGATTTTCAAATTCTTTTTCAAAAGGAATTTTGAAGCTTCATTATGAAGTTTACGGACTAAGGCTCTGATACCAATTAAATTGTCACGCCCCGGACCTACCGGACACGTCAACAACCCGCCGTACAGTACGAATAGTCAACCGCAGTCCAACTCATCCATACTATACTAGGCGTCTTGAATACCATTCACACATAGTACATCCATAAACAACATAATGTAAAATAATCATTTAAAGCAGCGGAAATGTTCAATACAAATGTGCACGCCACACTTTGGCAACATGGGCATACAAGCCCTAAATACATATTAAAGAAAAATAATATCCATGAGCATGGTTTAAATCGTTTTCAAAACAGAAACAGAAGAAGCACGAACTACGTCTTCTTCTCTTGAATTCTCCGATACAACGGGCGGTAGCGGCAAGCTTTAATCCCGACCTGAAACTGTGAGGTGGCCTCCCCCGTGAAGGGGAGGTCAGTACTTGGAAGCATTTGACAAGTACAATGACAACTATACTAAGTATAATCAAAGTTTCAATTTCCAAGACCCTCAACTTAGGATGTTACTATTTGAAATTAATTTATGTTCCTTCATGCTAGAGCTCGGCTCATAGTCATGTTAATTTGTGCTAGAGCTCGGCTCATAGTCACACCACATTTCGCTAGAGCTCGGCTCATAGTCATTCCTACATTTTTGTGCTAGAGCTCGGCTCATAGTCACACTACATTTTGCTAGAGCTCGGCTCATAGTCATTCCTACATTTTTGCTAGAGCTCGGCTCATAGTCATACTACCACGTGCTAGAGCTCGGCTCGTAGTCACGTCATCTAACCCCTAAACCACTTCTTAGTCTAGGCTCCATTCCTTTTGAGTAACCCTTGAGGTCTACTCCTAACATAACTTGACTTCGTAAAGTCCACCCTAGTTATCCTTTAAGGTTACTTAGCTTCAATATCTTGGGATTAGCTCCCAAGCACTATTGAACTAACATCCCCGACTAGTCTTCAATACTAGTCGTCTAATCTTAATAAGCCAACGCCAATTTCATAATAATTCATACATTTCAATTTAATTTCACATTCAAGTATAACTTGATTCAATATCAAAATATCACTTTTATTCCTTCATGAGGTAAAAGCATATTTATCACCATACAATTTTATAACTTACACCACAATTGGGTCATTATAATCACAACACATAAGCATACACAATTTATTCTTAAATTTGTATATTATGCATTTTCTTTATGAACAATACTATATTCCATTTTAGGCATTCTTAATCATAAATAACTCATGCCAAACACATATAATTCATTAAGGCAATCTTATGAAATTAACCCAATAATTATAAACAATATAGTCGGTCATCCTCACCTTAAGTGAGTTTGAACACGTTCTACGCCTCCCGGTTGAACTTTGACTAATTTCCGGTGAACTTTGACCAACTCCGGCGAACGTTGACCAACTCCGGCGAAACTCCGGCGAAGCTCAAAAATACTTTAATCAAGTTCCTAACAAGGTTTTAACATCATAAAACCTTAATCAATACAAATATCCTATAAAAGGTTATTTTCCGGTGAACTTGTCGGTTTGGCTCCTAAGTCCGTTCTTGGACTTAGAACTATTCTCCAACCCATCATTCCACACCTTTATCATGTAGAACAACCCAAAGGGTTCTCCATATGATATATACCTCCTATGATGGAAGGAAAAACAAAGGAAAAGTCATGATAAGGTCATTACCTTGATCCTTTCACACTTTTAGCACTTTAGCTCCTTTTCTTGGGGTTCTTTCTTGTAGAGTTTTCTTCAACAATGGAGAGGGAGGCTTGAGAGTTTCTTGCTGGTTCTGGGTGTGGGTTGGCCGCAGGAAATGAGGGAGAGGGTGAGGGGATAGCCCTTTTTGTCTAAATGGTCAAATGAGGGTGGATGGGTCCCCTCATTTTTTGTTTGATGCTTTTCCTTTCCATTCCAAGTCCTTCCCCCATGTTTTCCCATTCCTACCAGCCGACCACCCTATTGATTTGGGGGCTAAAATCGTGGGTTGGCCCCCACCCATGTGGGAGGTCAACCCTTTTTGCCCAAAAGTGTACACTTTGTCCCGAAAGTTGTATTTTTCGGACTGTTTTAATTATATTTTATTTTATCGGGTCAAATAAAATATATTATGCGTTCTTAATCATTATACCCTTTATAATGAATATTCATTTCCCAATTTTAATTTATAAGTCCCCGAAATTAAATTTTTTTGGGCTTTTATCGGTTAAATTGCCAATACCGGTACTTGGGCCTCTTTTGACCAATCGGTCAACTCAAGACCTTTCCATGGTTCAAATGAATTATCCACCACCATATAAATTTTATCTAGACCAAGATGAATAATTTATGTGGTCCCGGGAATATCGGGCGGCCCCCCGCTCCCGGTGCGGGCCCCACGTGCGAACTTACTATTCACGCAATAATTAATAAAATTTCATAACCTCGTAAATTCGTCAACCATTTCATAAGGCTAAAATACAATATTCACTTTAAAAGTAAATACATTTAGGGACGGTGTTACAACTATTTTACGTATGGACCTAAATTCACTTAGGTTAACTTAGTTTTTTTTATATTAAAACTTAGGTTTTTTTATTGCACTATGTTCACTTAACTTCACTTCATTGAGAAAAAAATTTGGGTTTTAACTTCACTATGTTCACTTAACTTCACTTAGCATTAGTGTCAAATTTGGGCTTTATTCCTTGAGAAAAAGATCTGTTTTTTATCATAAGAAATAAACAGACCTTTCAATAAATTCAATCTTTTAATTTCAAAAGTTTTTTTGAAATTTTGTGATCTTTGAAATTTTTTACCAGTCATATATATTCAATTCACCTTTGACGAATTATATATGTTTATAGGAAATGATTGTATAATATCAAAATTAGGATGTTTTCTTTTGGACTGAAATTTGCTGGTCTGGTCTGATCTGGTAAGTCTGGTCTGAACTGGTCTGATCTGGTCTGGTAAACGTCTGGTCTCTGTGTATTTTATAACTATCCAAGTCTGGTCTGGTCTGGTCTGTTTAAGTCTGGTCTGGTCTGATCTGGTTAAGTCTGGTCTGGTCTGATCTGGTCTGGTCTGGTCTGGACTGGGACTGAAAACATCCTTATACTGTTGGGATGTGAGTATTTCCCTTTTTTCCTAATTTCTAAGTTTGACCCATATTTTACTCCTACGATAATTTCCAAAAACATTTAGGAAACCTATATATGAGACCCGTATGATCAACAAAGAAAAGAAATTAAAGACTTTAAAAAAAGGGAAAGACCGTATAGTAATATACTCCGTATTAATTACGTAATGTACAAATTAAAAATACAATCCTTTTACTACAAGGAAAAGCTTTCCGACGATTATGATATGATGACAGCAGCTAGAATCGATCGGGACTATATATGTGATTCTAATTATTTGCCGACATGCCGTATATAACTCCATATATATATACAGCTAGTCCTTGAAGTTCATAGCATAGGAAGCTAATAAGCCTTATCGTCCCGCAATATATGTAATGGAATTCAGTGTAGAAGGGTTGGAATTGAGTACTTTGGAGTACCATAATGAACAGTGGTCATCACCAGAAGGCGAAGAAGACCACGATGAGGAAGACTTCTTCGCGGTCGCAATTTACAAAAAAATACGGGTATTCGGCGTTGACCACAAATTCATGCACCAAACCAGGGAACAGCTCCAAGCAGTTTTCCCTCTGCGCCACTCATGGCTGCAAACTGATGATGATGGTGGTGGTGGTGATGGTTCCGTGGGGCACCAAAAGTTGGAAAACTGCCTCAAGAAAAGCGGCTTGCCAGAACGCATTGCCGCGCAAATCGTGTCCTTTTACCACCAACAGCGCAGCAACATGTCGCCTGGCCGCGGGCGATCTTCCCCCCGCGGGGACGCCAATAACATGTCGTCTGGCCGTGGGCGATCTTCCGCCCGCGACAGCGTAACGGTGCCACTCATTGTCACTAAAACCCTAGTGAAGATGTACATGTGGTCGCTGCCGCGGGACATCGCCGTGGACGGGCTCTTGAGGCTCACGTCGGTTCTTTATAATTTGAAGGTCGCCAGAGCCTTTGACGGCGCGGAGGAGTGTTCGGTGTGCCTGGAAACGATGGGGAGAGGAGAAAAAGTGTTTCGCGCGGCGAACTGCTCGCACCACTTTCATGCACTTTGTCTGCTTCGGTGGCTGGATACTACTGCCAAAACCTGCCCATTGTGCCGTTGCCCTTTTGCCGAATCGCCTTACATTAGGGTTTTGACTTAGAGAACATCCCCAAATTAGAACTAAAACAATGTATATTTTCTAAAATACTCTGGATGTAGTAGTTACATTATTTTAAGACTCAGAAACCTGTAGTTAGAATTCTATTTTGTTCTTTTGGAATGTTTTTATTTGGACCGTTTTTTGGTCCAAGACCAAATCAGACCAAATTAGGCTTGGACAATTATAAAATACACAGACACTAGACATTTACTCGACCAGTTCAGATCATACTATACTAGACCAGATAAAATTCCAATCCAAGTAAAACTATTCTTATTCTCTTAATAATACTACGTATGAAATAAGTCTTATTTAAAGAAGAAACATCAGTTGATTCTATTTAAAACTAACTAGCATTTGTACCCGTGTCGTGCACGGGATAAAAAGATTTTATTTTTTAGTTCTACTAATGGAAAAACACTTATTTAGTCGATTATAATATTGGTTTGTAATGAATATAGTGTGCAATTTTTTTTATCAATTTCAAAATAATACGGAGTATTGTTTTGTCCATAAATCGAGAAATGTAACTTTTCCAACACTAAAATCCCAAAAATAAGGTTACGGACAAGAAATATTACATAAAAATCAATATATAAATTATTACAGCAATTCTATATATGTATTTTTACATTTTATTTTCAAAAATCTGGGTGTTCACATGAACACCCTTGAACAAAAGAGATCCGTCGCTGACTGCAGGAATAAGTCTCTCATGCCAATGGTAATTGACTGTTGGTATAAAATACCGTTAAATGTATACCAATGAAAAGGGCAAATTGTTTCTAGTATATTTTTTTAAACTAATTATCTAGACATATTCTTAATCTATACTTTCTGATGAAAAGGGCAAATTGTTTTATAACTCTCAGTTGCATTTAGATGAAATTGATCTTTTCAAATATCTTTACCTAAACATAAAAGAATGCTCAATGCCTATTTTTATCCATTAAATTTCATATGTGGCTTACTGTTTTTTTCAAAACTAACTTCACATTTTTTAAATTTATTTATCTAAAAATGAGTGTAGTCAATTTCTTTTTGAATATATTAGCCTTTCTAGGTTTTAGAATTTTCCCGATGTTTTCTGAAGTCAATTCACACCCAATAGATATAGTGGGACACACACCCTGATAAGTGATCCCTTAATTAATGGGTTCTAGTGTTCTACACAATCACAGAAATGCTTTTATGTTTATATTACAAGAATAAAAACCTCACATATTTGCCTCATTTGCTCGAAAGTACTTTTATTGGAGATAGAACCAAATACAACGATGAAAGAAGAACACACACGAAGAATTAAGCGAAAGCCGCTCAACTTCCACAAAATTCGCCCAACGTTTACTTGCCAAGCTGCCCCAGAAGCCGTGCAAGACAGAAGAAAGGCGCCCAACACCAAAACGATGAAAGCCGCCCGGCTTTCCCTGAACTCGCTCGGTTTCCAGCATCGTAGTTTAATGGTTGAATAAAACCCAAAAGTTGTCCAACATTTTATGTAAGCTGCTCAGCTTTCGACCTCTGGGATGAAGACTTTTGCTTTTAAAAGCGATACCCGCTCGGCTGCTAGGCTTCTTCCAAATATATGATTAAAAAACACAGTGGTCTTTGATAGAGTATATGGGCTCAGACCCCATGGCCTACATACTCAGAAGGTCAAAACACCAGATGAGTCCTGCGATAGCCAGAAACCAAAGTTGCTCAGAATACTGTCCGGAGACAAAGTGGGTCCTGTGACCGTATCGACCAGGGGACCACATCGGCCAAAAGACACCAGATCGGCCAGTAAATACCCTAGTAGAATGTATTTCCGCACTTAATCTACTAAGTTATGTACTCAGCCCATTAGTGGCCTTATTATGCCCGAAAGAGGTCTTATTATTGTAATGAGCCTCCTAAGCCCATGGCTAGGGGCCCAAATCCACATTTACTCCTATAAATAGTCCCCTAGAGGTAGTTATAGGGGGTTGAGAAATATTAATTGTTCACTTTCTCTCTCTAACTCTGATTTCTCTCTAGAATTTAATACTCTATCAGTCTTCATAATCATTCAGGAAAAAAGACTAAATTAAAACTTATTAAAAAGCTTGACTTCTTGTCCGAAAATGGCCGTTGAAGACCCCCCCACCCCCCCCATGTACGAGTTTTGAAGACTCTTCATAAAGAATCATTCCATTTTCTACATTTTACTCCTGTATATACATTCATCTTAAGAGCACCCCTTAGTCTTGAGAGAAGTCTTTCATTAGGGAAGCATTGTCCACCATAGTTTTGGTGTTCTAGTACTATTTTTCTTATGTATTTACTTCAATTTCAGAATTTCAATACTTAAAATTTAACTTCATTATTAGTTATTGTAGCTAATTTTCCATAGTCAAGGTTAGGGATAAAACTTTTTGGTACTCTTACTATTTGATGTATGTGTTAAACCAATTTATTATGATCTTTCCTTTATATTTTAACGTGTATGACTACGGTGTACATTGTATGATTATATCATTGGATTTATTGAACAATTAATGTTGGATTGTAAATCGTGCACTTAAAGGTTAAGACATATTCATATTGAGGATAGAAATACACCTAATTAACTAAACATGGTGTTTTTTACAATGTCCTAATTTCCACTACAACAAAGTATAGTTTTTATAGCATGTGCAAAATGTAGGTCTAAAAATGTCACAATATATTAAATGTAACATTTTCTGTATGCTGCATCCGACGGGTGTTAAAATAGATGTATTGTAGCAATTTATCACTTTACTGTTGTATTTATTGGTACAATAACGTTGCAATAGATATTATATTGTAAAAGTTCCTACGATGCTACATAATGGATGCTAGAATACACTTTTTGTATTAGTATTTAACGAGGTTATGTTTAGTTGAATGTAAAATGTGATAGGATTTACAAGTGGAGTTAATCACAATCTCACTGCAGTAACAAAAGTTAGAATACTTTAGACACATTCAACTCATAAGAATTAATGGTGAAAGAACATATCATCGTTGCTAAGAATTACTTAGAAGTAATCCTCAATCCATGGGTGTTTTTGTAACACTCCGCACTGTAGGGCCTGAGTTAGTTACTCATGGATGTCATCCATATCTCTAGCACTATTCTCACAAATCAACAGAAGACTTTACAGGCACTTTGTCATCACTCGTGCGTGCTCTGGAAAACTTCTCAGGGGGTCACCCATCCAAGACTACCCTTATGCAAGCACACTTAATTTGGAGTTCTTAACTGTTAGCTCCTTTAAAACTAAACATACCTTGTTTTTATGAGTAATATTATTAATCTGTTTAAATTAATCTCAAGTAATACAATCACCCCCCTCTTAAGAATGCAACGTCCTCATTGTGCTAATAAACCCATTCAATCTTAATCAAAGCCTAGAATCCTTCTCTACTAAGTGCTCACCCAATATCCAACACATCAGTACATTATCGTATGGTTGCTCTATGATGGGTGTGGAAACACATAATACTTTCTCATAAACTTTTTTCTTTGTTTGTCAAATTTTGGTGATTTTCCTCTCATTTGGTTTTACTTGTGCAATATTTTGGTTGTAGGAATCACAGATAGGATTTGAGTATTGTAGGGGTGAAAATTGAGCATTTTGAAGAGTCTTGGGAGCATAAATGGATAATTTGAAGACCACGGGATGAAGCAGTGCACAAAGAAGCAAGAAACGAAGACGTCAAACGTGTTTTGATGGAAGAAGGCATAGGAACACCGCTTCTCCCGGCGTTTCTCCTATTCGCTCAGTCGAATTTTTATTTCACAATCCTCGATGTAGGAACATCGTTGTTCCTAACATCGTTCCTTCAGGGGACGACGCCCCCTTCGCATCAAACTCTCTTCCGGGTGCGGGAACAACGGCAAGAACACCGTCCCCTCCAGCGTTCTTCTTGGTGTTCCCGCAAAAGGAAAGTCGATCTTTCCCTGCGTCCCCCCCCCCCCCCCCCCCCCCCCCCGATTTTTCTCTTGTATAAATACCCCTTTTGTTCCGAATTTCATAGTTTTTGAACAAATTTTCTTCTTGCAAATCCTAGTTTTGGTTGTAAGTTTCCTTGAACTCTTTTATACTTCATTTCTCAATATTATTTTCATCAAATCTTGATTCTAGTTTCATTTAATTCAATAGATTGCATGGCTTTCATTATTTCTACCAACTCATCCTTTTGTCTCTCTTCATGCTCATGCCTTATATTTGTTTTATGAATACAAAATCTAGCATGAGTGAGTAATTGATATAGAGATTAGGACTTTTAGGATCATCCAACTATGTAAGGTTATAGAATTTGAAGTTTGATTTGGGGGAACTTGCATGAGAAATATATTTTGCACACAATGTATTTGTGAAAATACTTCTTTCAATTTCTAAGACTTTGATTGCCACATTGTTTTAGAAGTGTTTTGGTCTCTCAAAGAAATTTGTAGGGTTCCTTTTGACACATTCACACACACACACACTACCCCCCTCTCCATGAGAATGAGAGAAGGTAGTATAGGGAAAAAAATTGTTATTTGCTTTTTTGCATGATTTTGAATTGCTATTGGACCATGATAATGGCGAATAGGAGCCCCTAGTACTCCCTTGATCATGAGAGTGACGAGGTGTAACACCCCCAAATTCATACCCATAATAGATGTTGATTTTAGCAAGTATAGAAATGATTTCCCAAATATTTAAGTTCAAAAGACTTTCAATTGTAGCGGAATAAAATACTCATTGGGTGTTACCGCCACACTCGGTCTCACATAACTAAATGCACATGCTAAACCACAATCCAAAAATAATTCAAGTATTAAAGTGTTGAATCTCAAAAACAATTTAAATGTCTACATGTTCTCAAACTGTAGTAATCGATAACTAGGTAACTATAAATACTAAACGACGTGATCTAACACAACTCTCATCATCAAGCATAATCATCATCACCTGCACAAATAAAGTGCAGGAAAAAAAAGAAACAAAAAATAGCTTTTTAGCTAAGTAGGACTCACCCAACCGCGTAAAATAATATAGTTTGGAAAAATAGTTTTAATACATACATATAGGTCCC